TAATAGTAGTGCGCACTACTATTTTTTGAACCCCCTCCTGGACCGCAATACTATTAGAGAGTGCAGTACTATTAAATAGTTTTATCATTTACCAAAGTAAGACAGATATAAACTTTATTCCAAAAATTCTTCCAATTCTTTCACGTACTCCTTTGGCTCCTTTTGACATACAGTTGTGGGCCGGCGAGTTGACAATTTGTGTCTTGACAAACAACAAAAAGATGTTTTTGCACTTTGCACAACAATTTTAGATTTTTTGCTAACTTTTTCATGTGAAGAATAGTTAATAAATGAATAAAAAAGCCTCACTTTTGCTTGCTTGAATAGCTTTAGAATGTCACATAAACATAAAGTCAAAAAGGTTTAGATGAAAAAGAAGCAAACATAAATTCAAATTTTCGTGGGTCCACTACTATTTTTTCAACCCCCTCCTGGACCGCAATACTATTAGAGAGTGCACTACTATTAAAGAGTGCACTACTATTAAAGAGTGCACTACTATTAAAGAGTGCACCTCTATTAGAGAGAATACGGTAGATTCTATGAAGCTTTTCAGGTGCTGCTCTTAGTAATTTTGTCGACAACTATGAACAGCTCAATTATCCAACGATTTCGAGTGCGAGACGGAAACGATCGCTCAGTAATTATGGGCAGCCGATAAAATTCAATTTTAACTCCTATAATAGGTAAGTAGAGTTACCAAAGCTTTTTTTTTATAACATTTTTAGGACTTTTCGCATTTCTCTTTTACCGGTAGATGATGTTAGTTCACCATTTCACGACTCTCATTTTATTGATGAGGATGGAAAATGGTTAGTGGTTTAGTAGTTTAATCTTTTAGTCGTACAAATAAATTTAATACAAATAATAATACAAATAAATAAATTTCAGGCTAGATATCGATCCGCCAAGCTTTCTCTATGATGGATTTGTTGAAGGTAAGACTTTTCTTATTCTAAAAAATCTCAACTCAAATATTAATGTGTGGATTTAGGTGATCCACATTCGAAAGTTTATGGATCAATTTTGGACGGTGTCTTTGAGGGTCATGTACATACTGGAGACGGACATTCGTTCACTATTGATAAGGCGGCAAAATATTTTGATATGGTAAGTCGTTTGCCTGCGAAATTGCGATAAAATGATGCGCTAAAGTAATTTGAAACAAAACTTTTAGGATTCCCGACCTACTCATTACCATTCGATCATTTATCATGACGATGAAATTAATCACAACAAAATGAGGATGAAACGGTATTATAAGGATTTCCAAAAGAACTTACCTATTTCAAATTTAGTGATGCATTGTTGAAAGAAGCAACACCAAATCTTCATGGATGTGCTCTAGATGAACCCACAAGGAAGGGTATGGAAAGGGTTCAAAGATCAGCGGAACCATCAAATTACTACCATCAACACAACATGTAAGCAGGAATAACTTCAAGCTCATAAATTTCGTATTCATTCGTTTAGGCGAACGAAACGATCACTTCAAAAAGACGACAATGGACTTTATAACGTGCGCACATGCTCGCTCTATCTTCAGGCCGATCACAAGTTGTATGAGCATATTCGAATGAAAGAAGGAAACAAAGATCCTATCAGGCAAGTGAATGGTTCGTTTTTAAAACCTTAATAGTTTAGAACACGAGAAGAAATCGTCAGTCTTTTCTACAACCATATCAAGGCTGTCAACGAGATCTACGAGGGAACTGATTTTAACGGGATTCGTGGTCTTCATTTTGTTATTCAACGAACCTCGGTATTTTATAAAAATGAATACACCAAAGTTATGCTGCTTTAGATCTACACTCCTGATTCATGTTTGAATGGTCGTGCAAAAGAAGGTGCGGACAATCCGTTTTGCGAAGAAAATGTGGATGTTTCAAACTTCTTGAATTTGAACTCTCAGAAGAATCACTCTGCTTTCTGCCTTGCTTATGCACTCACATTCCGGTATGTTTTAATTTCAAGGTCATTTTCATTCTTTATTTAGTGACTTTGTTGGTGGTACACTTGGTCTCGCATGGGTGGCAAGTCCTCAATTCAGTAAGTTTTTTTATCATCATTTATTGATTCACGATGAACTTATTACTTTAGACACTGCTGGTGGTGTTTGTCAAGTTTATCAGCGGTACAACGAAGGACCTCGCGGTTGGGTGTTCCGGAGTTTGAATACGGGCATCGTTACACTTGTTAATTATGGAAATAGGGTATTATCAATTTTCATTACTTTATTCGATGGCTTGCTTTTTAGGTACCTGCACGAGTTTCTCAGTTAACGCTGGCCCATGAAATTGGACACAATTTTGGTTCACCGCACGATTTTCCGGCAGAATGTCAACCAGGTTGCTTTAGCTTTTTGACAACTGATTTTCTGGTTTAGGATTACCGTTGGGAAACTTCATCATGTTTGCCTCTGCTACCTCGGGAGACAAGCCAAATAATGCTAAATTTTCGTCATGCTCAATCAATAACATTAGTAGTGTGTTGCATGTGGTAAGCTTTATTTGTTCGCTTTTGCTCAAAAGTATCATAGGTTCTTTCTTCTGTGCCCGTGGATCCAACAAAGTATTCTGGACCAGTCGGACCACTAACAAAGCGCAATTGTTTCCAAGGTAAAAATTTTTAAAAAAAGTTGCATCTATTTTTTACTTTAGAGCGGACATCGGCATTCTGTGGAAACCAAATTCATGAGCCTGGAGAAGAATGTGATTGTGGCTTTTCACAGGCAGATTGCGACCAAATGGCTGATCGGTTGGTGAAAACTTCTAATCACTAAAAAGAAGTTTTAGATGTTGTTATCCTCACGAGGGTCGTCTATCTGGACTTGGTACTCCTTGTAGAAGAAAACCTGGGGCTAAGTATCGTGGAAAGTTTTTACATATTTGTATTTTCCTCTTTAGATGCTCTCCTTCCGAAGGTTTCTGTTGTAATGGGGAATCATGCTCACTTTTCAGCGAAAGAGACTTCCGAGTTTGTCGACAGGTTTGAAAAGCTTCGTTGTTTCTCTCCAAAATGTTTTCCTTTCAGGAATCCGAGTGTAGTGAACCACAAACATGTGACGGTCGATCAGCACAATGCCCACAAAGTCGCCCGAAAATTGATGGACTACCTTGCCAAGATTCTACAAAAGTAAACTGCTTTTCTGCTTTAAATTTTCTGGTAATTTAAGGTTTGCTCCGGTGGGTCTTGCAACGGATCGATTTGTGAAGCGGTCGGCTTACGCGATTGTTTCCTCACGGAAGGAAGACCCGAAGAACTTTGCTTCTTGGCATGCCTCAAGGAAGGAAGTATCGATTTAAATTTTTTTGCTTGTACTATTACATCGTCTAGAATGCATATCATCTGTTCTACTGCCAGAGTTTGCAAGTGATAGACGACAGTATCTTCAATCTGGTCGACAAGGAAAAGCAGGATTAAGCTTGCACCCTGGTAGTCCGTGCAATAACTACAAAGGTTGGCATACGAGAGTTGCAATAAAACTCTTGTTTTAGGCTATTGTGACATTTTCCGCAAATGTCGATCTGTTGATGCAAATGGACCATTAGCACGGCTGAAGAATCTTCTATTCAATAAGCGTACTTTTGATTCATTATCACAATGGATCCAGGTATTTTAATTTTTTAATTACTGAAAAAACTTTTTAACTTTAGGAACGTTGGTGGGCTGTAGTGCTGGCTGGGCTTGCCTTGTTGATCTTCATGGCTCTTTTTGTCAAGTGCTGCGCTGTTCACACGCCTTCGACAAATCCGAACAAACCACCGCCGCTCAACATTTACCAAACACTTACTCGTCCAACAACTTTAATTGTGAGTGACTTTAATTTCTCTAATTACAAATTTTTATTTGTAGCGACAACGACGAAGACAGCAACAAGGAAATCGTCCGCCTGGGGCTGGCGGAGGCCCTCCCGGTCTAAACGCCCCTGGGAACAGGAGTTCAAGGCCAACGGCACCACCAATGCCGCAACAACCACCAATTCCTCTTGTGCCAACTGGGCCTTCAAGTAAGTTTTAAACTTAAAGCAGCATATTTATTACGGATAGGTGCGCCAGCAGTGATTGTTGTCGAACCACCGCCCCCATACACAGCGGCCGCAGATCCAGGCTCTGCACTTGGTGGCCCACCTCGTGGACATAGGTATTGCGTAAAGTATTTGATTTACTTCAGAGTAGCATGAAACATCAAACAAACTCTTATTTTAGAAAGAACAAACGACAAACGGCTGCTGATGCAAAGCCTAACGCCAAGAAGCCATCTCCAAAATCAAAAGCAACTCCGAGGTGAAATTGTATGTTTCATCTGTTTTTTTTATCTGCCTCGATCAGTTCTCTTAAATTACCTAACTGCCTCCATTACATTTTTTCACTTTCGACTTTGTGCTTATAAGGTTCATTCTGTAGTTGGTGCACAAATGACGACCTCCTGGTAATTTTTAGTCGCCCAAAATTTTGTCACATAAGGTTTTTTTGCACGTATTTGTCACGATTTTCTCTTTCCATTATAATCAAGTTAGGGTTAATCAATTGTCATTGTAATAATATTTACACCGAATCTCTACGTGGTATTTTTTTTTCCCATCTGCTTTCAACGACTCTCAACTACTGCAGCCAAATCTGGTATCATTCTCCCGTTTTTTTTTTTTCTTATGAACTCAATTTCTCCCCACTTGTGGATCTTTCGTGTGCGTGTGTTTCTGATATACGATGAATTTGCGCCAGTCGCACTTACTTATTGTGATTAATTTGCTCTTTCTTTTTTTTTCGACAGTCCTCAAATTTGCGATATTGCCAAGTTGTCTGAATAAATGTATTTATGAGATGACAATTTTTCAGCTTTGAAGTTACACATCAAAAGGTTTACATGCATTTTTAGTAGAAAAAAAAGTCCAATGCAAGGACATGTTTTCAAAATCTTGAAAGCTTTTCATGTGCTCTTTTTCTTAAAAAGTTGATTTGTCCTGTATTTTCTTTTAAAGTCATTGTTTTTAGTTAACGATGGATAGAAAAGAAAGTGGTCAAAATTTAGAAATCTTTGCGAAACACATCAAATTGCCGCTATTAGAGCCGTCTCGAATTGGAGCATTTATTGGACCAAAAGGCTTCAATCTCAGATCAATCGAAGAAAAATATGACGTAAGGCTCACTTCTCTCACATCAAAAATCCCAGCTTTTTAGGTACATCTTCATTTTAAACCCGAACAATCACTCGAAATTATTGGCCCAACTGACAAAGCAGTCGAACTTGGTGAAATCGCCGTAGAAAAACTCGTGGTAAAATTGGTATTCGAAAATTGAATCTTTTTTTTTATATAGCTAGGTCTCTTTGCTACTGGGTGCTCACATACCATTGCTATACCATCGAAAATGATTGGATTTTTGATTGGTATATTTATTTGAGTTTATGTAATTGATCAAAAATATATTCAGGATCTAAGGGAAAAACGATCACCGACATTCGAACAAGATCCGGTGTTAAAATTGAAATCCTGGGCAAGCGAGAAAAGAAAGCCGAAGAAAGCAATACAGCAATTCGACAAGAAAATGTATCGGTAGAAAAATTATGAATTTATCCTTTCAGTCAATTCTATTTATGAATTTATCCTTTCAGTCAACTCCAGCAAATTTTGTTGATGAGAATGGACTTGAATTTACACGTGTTATAATTTACGGTAAGATAGTTTTATGGGGGGTAGTCAAAACAGCGCCATAATAGAAAACGTTGAAAACAGCGCCGTCAAATTTCTCACACTCCAAAAGCCAAGCCGGTGCAAGTTTTATATCAAAAAATTCCTTGCGTTCTTGGCTACATGATGGGTGAAACAGTTTTTAAAAAAAGTTAATATTTCATAGATAAAAGAGCACTTAAAATGTGTGTCGAGTGATACTCAGTTGGTTAACTGAATATCTTTAGAGACCCATTTTGAGTGTTATTTTTATCTATGAAATATTAACTTTTTTTAAAAACTGTTTCACCCATCATGTAGCCAAGAACGCAAGGAATTTTTGATATAAAACTTGAACCGGCTTGGTTTTTTGGATTTTGAGAAATTTGACGGCGCTGTTTTGAACGTTTTCTATTATGGCGCTGTTTTGACTACCCCCCAGTTTTATGTTCAATGATGATTCAAAGTCTAGGTGATTACGCGAACATTCGTATTGCTTTAACGATGATATCGGGTCATCTTGGAGATTTTGGCAAAGAATTTGTTCACAACAATACAAAGTTGTCTTTTTGCTTTTTGCTACATTCTTAAACACTTGTCTTTTAGGAAAATGGAATTTTTCGAGCATTGGAATGAAGTGAAAGAGTGCAATTAAATTTTTTGTTATTAAGAATTTCTCAATTTTAGTTAATTTCCCAATTTTATCTAGTTGTTATTTTACTTTATACAGATTTTATAATAAAAAATTATGTCTGAAATTGGTTTCTAACGTTTATTTCATTTCAATGATGAAAATATTTGCATTGAGTGGCCAAAAGTTATTTATTTTTCTTGTTATCTTGGCCAAAAGTTATTGATTTTTAAGTTTAGATAATGCGTGGTGGAAGTCGTCCACCGAAATGGGTGCCACGCGGTACTCCAAAAACCCGTGGAGCTCAACGGGTATCATTTTAACTGGGATAAAATAGATCTAGATTAGCTGGATTACGGTATTCACTCTACAATAAGGTATTCAGTCTAGATTATCTGGATCACGGTATTCAGCCTAGAATGGGGTGTTCAGTCTAGCTCAAAGTATTCAGTCTGGATTACGGTATTCAGTTTAGATTTGGTATTCGGTATAGATTGGCTAGATTATGGTATTCAGTCTGGAATAGGGTATTCAATCCAGAATAAAGTTTACAGTCTAGCGTATCTGGATTTCATATTTTTAGGTTGTTCAAGCAATCTCCGTCCTTCAATGTTGGGCTCAGAAAGCAGCGCAAGAGCAACAAAGAACAAAGCAATTGCGTCAACAAAATCCCAGTATGTTTTTATCACGAATTTTCATGAGATTCACAAGCTTAGGTTATATGTCTAACGATGTGGTGGTGCTAGACGACAGTATCGACGATTTTGATGTTCAACCGTCTACTAGTGGAGGTCAGTGAAAAAGTTGTTTCAACTTCAAATTTTTCCCCTTCAGAAATACCACCTTCATTGCCGAAAATTCCCCGCCAATTCCCCAGCACTGTCGCAAAGACTACGAAGAAAAATAAAAGTGAGCGACCAGTAAGGTAAAAATTTTTCTGGTGTTTAAAATATTGTCTTTTAAAATTTAGCGAGATTCAACTCCAAGAAAAGAGGGCCGATTTAAGAGCACTGAAAGAGATACATTTCCCGATTGGTATGACGAATCAGTTGCATTAAAGAATAAAACTTTAGCGGAAATCACAAGAGAATGGGAAAGAGAAGCTGTGAAGGCGGCTGTGAGTCACAACCTCGGAATTTCGATACCTTACGATACGTCGGGAGCTCATATTGTTGCTACTCTTTGTTACAATTTTCTCAGGTTTGTCAAATGTTATCTTGTGCAGATCGTGTATCAGTATTTAACTTTTTAGATGGTTCCCTGAATGTTGTTGTTTATGCACTGCTCGTAGCGCAAATCATTTGGAAGCTCTGCGTGAACGATTTCAATATGTTGGAATTCCGGACACGGAGCTTACTGTAACTTGTTTGTTTCGTTTTCTATAATAATCTATTTTAGGAAATCGATAATGCGACTAGCTTCAAAAAGTTGAAAACTCATCAAATTGGACGTCTTCTTCTTGGGAGTTCGCAGGTTTATAAGAAATTTAAACTAAATCAAGTTTTTTTTTTTATCTAGACGCTTACAAGTGTTTGCGAAACCAGCCCGGAAGTGGCTGCTTCCGTCTGTTGTGTCATTTTTAATTTTGAAAGCCCCACAGAAACGGCCACAAAATACAAAAAGCTTTTGGAGCTTGTGGGAGCGATGGTTTTTCTATCTGTTTTATTTAAAAGTAACCCTTTTTTGCTAGGTGGCGGGAAATTTATGTCGAGCGGTAGTTGTTGCTCCACGCCATGCAACGCCACAAAGAAAGAATTCAGCGCTGAGTGGACGACAATTGATAATCACAAATCTTGGTTTATCCGGCTGGTTACAGGTAGCTTCAGAAGAACTTTATAAAACTGTTTATTTAGTTTGGCCCATCCGATCCGACGTATCGAACATATCATGTTAGTCCACGTGTTGGTGTCGAGTATTGGGGCAAACAGGGTCCTGGTAGCGCTTCTATGGATAGTAGTTGGGCGGATATTTGGAAAGAGGTACCTTGTTAGCACGATTTGGAATTACCGGAAACGCTGTAATAGAGCGACGCCCTATAGGGGCGTCACGTAGTCTAAGTTTACGCTCAAACAAATGCTCATATCTTGACACCAGTACGTTTGTTTCTTCTCGTTTAGGTACCAAATCAAAGAAGAGAAGATGAGTGATTTTTTTTGAGATATAATACATTTTTAAAAAATCATTAGCCAGTGCTTAGAAAAAATGATTGAAAAGTGGCAAAAAAGAGCCGATTTTCAATCATTTTGTTCTATGCGCTTCAATCATCTCTCCTTAATTTCATACCCAAGCCCAAAAACAAAAGTACTGGTGTCGAGATATGAGCATTTGTTTGAGCGTAAACTTACGACTACGTGACGCTCCTATAGGGCGTCGCTCTATTACAGCATTTACCGTAAGATCATTTAGACCACGAGAGATTTACTGCGAACCCTGGCTCGAGATCTGCCCATTTTGCCATCAATCGATCCCGATGAGTTGTTTTATGCTGACTGGAACCTTGTACTAGACGTATGTTGGACTGGTTTAGCTCTTGAAAACGTTAAAACGTTAAAAACCATAAAATTTTAATACTTTCAGTCTGCTAAAGGTTGCCCTGCGTCAGTGTCTACATTTGCTTTCTCATTGTATTTCATTATTCAAGCGTATCGGCATCTTGTAATCAGTGGTCCAAGGGTCTTTTACTTATACTGCCATCGTAAGTCTTTTAAAATGTTGTTTTAAGCCGAAAAATTTAAGAGAACTTGAACGCTTCTACAAATGAGGCTCTACAACTTCAAACTGTTATCGCATCGAATGAGGGTTTTCATAATGTTTATGAAGATATCCGAAATAAATACTCGTTTGTGGCAGGTTTGCTTATAGAATATTTGTGCTTACTTTTAATATTTTTCTTTTTAGACAACGCATACAATGTCTCATACAAAGAGGAATCGATGAAATCACACCAAAAATGGATTCATTTGAGAAGGACCGTGGAAGATTTTATTTTAACAGGTCAGATTTTGGTACTGTACTGTTTCTGGAGTTTAACGCGTTTCTGGAGATAACCTTTATTCTATGAACTTCAAAATCTCGTAGTAATTCAGTTTTTCATTAGGACGTTCAATCAAAGGAGTAGTCTTATGCGATTCGACATGGAGTGCTCGTGTTGCAGCTGAGAGTATAAATGGAGTTGGCGAGGGTTCTGGGGTGAGTAGTTTTGTAGTAATTTTGCACTATAAAAAAGGGAGAGTTTCAACTCTAGTTTTAGCACGAAGTGACCGTTGTCCACGCGGTGATCGATGAAAATAATGTCGAAGGTAATTTGTTTTTGTTGCCAATGATTGAGTAACTTTAGATGTTGCTTTTCGACCGTTTCATAAAACTCTTCAAGGAATTCCGCAGTTATTCCAACGGGTTTATTTAATTTATACTTTAATAAATAATTGAAGATCTTAAGCCAACGTCAACGATTGCTATTATTCGCACCGATTTGCCGCTTGTGATGAAAGTGCTTGATCAAATCGCGAATTCTTTTCCACAATTTGTCATCAGCGTCGATAGACAGTAAGCTATTAAGCAATAAGCATTAAATAAGCTATTAAGCAAATTTTTGTCTCCTTTTAGATCACTTTCTTGGATTCCGCTACATACAACTGAACACAGTGCGATGCTCTCGGAACGTTACGAAAAATTGGTTGGTAATAAGTTGCTTAAAAATACCGTAATCTATTGAAGCTATTGAAGGTATAGCTATTGAAAAGCCTATGGCTCTTGTTTAAGTTCATGCGATTATTTAGAGGCCCACTGACGGTCATATCCGACAAGAGTGGGCTCTTAACGATACCGCGGCGAGATACGAGGCACTTTCAATTTGTGACGCGTAATCGATCATTTCATTGTCGAATTAATAGCATAATATTCAGATTTGACTTCCAGTATCACCCGTCTCCACTTTATTTTGAAGTTGAAAAGATGCAAACTCGAGAGTATTTCCATCGAGTCAAGGAACAAAGGTTGGTTTATTGAAATGTTTAAATGTTTAAATGTTGAAAACTTTTTATCCAGCGGAGTCGGAGATTATAAACTAAACTCGAGCGAAAAAGCTAACTACGATAGGATGGCTCTCGGCACTTTCCCGAAACCGAATCGAGTTTGTTTCTGCTAAGAATATAACTATATATATCTTTTAGGAGAGAGTACATCTTGGTGAGCTGACCGAGGATCAACTTTACTGGAACAAATTGGATCATTCGGGCTACGGAAAAGTTTGTAGACTTGTAAAAGTGCTGATAGAATGGTTGGTTCTAGGTATCGAACAGCCGATTGTCCATGCAAATGTTGAAGCAATTGACGGCAGAGAACTTCTCGCTGACACCTGCCGAATTTGAATACGAAGAGCATCCGGATGTCATCGAAAAGCAAAAACAAATCGACTCGCTTCTTGGTCAACTTGATGATGCATTTCCGAGAATTTAGTACTTTTAATAAATTTTTTCAATCTAACATAGATTTTGATCGTTTTGTATGCTTCTAAAGTGCAATATTATCTTTCACTGAATAACTTTTAAATTCGTGGAAAGCCAAGCAAATGGGACAAGTCACGAAAGGTTTTAATCCCTTTTTGAGATGTCGAACTTTTGCCTGCCCATTTTTGGCTCCCCCAGTTTGGCATCTGGAAATCCCTTGAATGAATATGCAAATCGTGTTGGAACAAATCTAAAAGATCCCAAAAGCATTCCTTTCTCAAGAGAATAAAGAGGGAAAAAACGTTTACTTCGGCACAACTTTGAATGGTGGCCGGTTTTTTGGGAAAAGAAAACCCGCTCGAGTGGTCACAAATGGTGAGAAACACTTTTTTTCTGAAATGGTACGGCCCATTGAACTTGCCATTTGGCTTTTCTGAAGAAGAGAATTTCCATTGATGACCATTTTGGACTGGTTTTATGGTGAGTTTTTGAGGAAAGTACAGAGAGTTTAGTTGGAAGTGACAATGGTTCTTACAATCAGTTACAGTACTGAACAATCATTGAAACTCATAGCCTACAGTATTCTTTTGTGGTACAGTACTTATTTACAATACTATCCTGTTACTACAGTACTCGGATACTATAGTAGGTTGTAAGTACAGTACCTAGCTACTACTAAAAGATCTTATTTTTTCCTATTTTGATCTAATACAGTTCCAATACGGTTCCTTTTTTTTCTAATACGGTTACAATAGGGTTCCTTTTTTTTCTAATACAGTTCCAATACGGTTCCAATACTGTCCCTATTTAAAAACCAACAAGGTAATGAAGAGTCAGAGCACTAGAAAGCGTGTGTTTGAATTTGAAACTCAAAGTACACCTAGAACAAGGTTTTTTGGATAAGAAAAATTGTGTAATCACATGAAAAAAAGTTTTCGATATTTCGTTTCTCTTTTTCTCAACACAACGCATTAGTAGAAGGGAAAATTTGAGTGACCGAATCCCGGTCGAGAGAATTGTCAAACAAGAATTCTCATAAAGATTGCCAAAAGACTGCCCGAATTGCAGTTTTTTTTTTTTTTTTTGTTCCTTTTTTCCATCATCACTCACATAATTGAGACTGGAATTGATGACTTTAAAGGGAAAGATTTTGACTTCAAGGCAATTGTCTCTCGGAAATTCCGGTTTTCTTTTGCCATTTTTGACTCGAAATTCATGAGCGTAAGTGATTGGTGAAAGATTTTCGATTCTTTTCTTTTTTTGAAGACTTTTTTATCATTAGTCGTTTTGTTTGAAGCAAAAAAAAAGAAAAGTAAAAGTGTTTGGAGGCTAGCCGTCTCGAATCAGCCAGTGATTGAAGCTAAAACAACAACTAGGCTTTAACTTTAACCAGTTGATCATAGTGTCAAAAGTTAAGCCTCGTAAAAAAGTGAGTTCAGATTGAGACACAGGGATTTTTTTCAGTGTCTTGAGATATTCAGCTAGCAACTCTTATGAGTTGCTAGCTGAATATCTCAAGAGATTAAGCTTTAAAGCTACAGTATCTTTTGGATAGTACGTGAATATCTGCGGCTCTGTGAATACAGGATTCTTTCTAATAGACTGAATAGCGGGGATTTAGGTTATGGGATTTAGCTTAAGGGATTTAGCTTAAGGGATTTAGCTTAAGGGATTTAGCTTATGGATTTAGCTTATGGATTCAGCTTAGGGATTCAGCGTAGGGATTCGGCTTAGGGGATACAGCTTAAGGGATTTAGCTTAAGGGATTTGGCTTGAGGGATTTGGCTTAAGGGATTTAGCTTATGGGATTTAGCTTATGGGATTTGGCTTAAGGGATTTGGCTTAAGGGATTTAGCTTAAGGGATTTGGCTTGAGGGATTTGGCTTAAGGGATTTAGCTTATGGGATTTGGCTTAAGGGATTTGGCTTAAGGGATTTAGCTTAGGGATTCAGCTTAAGGATTCAACTACAGTATCCCTTCTAGTTTTATAACAATTTTTTTCCAATTCTCCAATTTCCCAATTCTCCAATTCTCTAATTTTCCAATATTTTTGTGCATTTTCTCTTTGAAAAATCAGAAATGAAATAAAGATTTATTTCGAATAAATACTAAGGATGAGATAAAAAAAAAGATAAATAAAATTTGAGCACCGATTTTTGAGATGTTTAGAAAAGAGGATCAATGTGATAATCGACGGATTCTTTTGTTGATTCAAGGTCATTTTTAGCTCTCTTTTGTCAGAAGATCACTTATTTTCCGACGTATCCTTGAGGAGCCGCTGGGGGTGGAAGAGCGATTGGTGGGGGTGGTGGTGGGGCGCCGATTGGGGCCTGGAAAAGGATTGAGTACGGGAAATGGACTCTGGACCGGACTACAGTAGTCAGCTACAGTCAGCTGCAGTAGTCGGCTGCAGTAGTCAGCTACAGTCAGCTACAGTCAGCTACAGTCAGCTACAGTCAGCTACTGTATTCTAGTGATTTACCTGAGCGTATCCTCCTCCGGATGGTGGTGGTGGTGGGAGAGCGTAGCCTCCGCCTCTGAAATTTCCATTTTGAATACAGGACACTTTAAAAACTAGGACACTCTTCTAGAAAACTTCTACAAAAGTGACTCACGATGGTGGGAGAGCTCCTCCGCATGGAGATCCGCACGATGGGGCACCACCTCCGCAGCAGCCACCGCCACCGCCGATGCAAGCGAAAGCGCTTGAGATGAACAGGGAAAGGATCACGAATCGCATCTAGAAATGAGGATTTAGAGAATCAGATAGGTAAATCAGATGAATAGTAAAGTGTCTAGGATCTAGTTATTGTCAGATCAGAAAGGCTTATCGAGGCTAAAGTGGGCTTCAAGTGCCTAAGAGCCTTAGCTGAGCTTAAGCCTAGGTCAGCCTAAGCCAGGCTGAGCCTAGGCAAGCTTAAGCAAGCCTTAGCAAGCCTTAGCAAGCCTTAGCAAGCCTTAGGAAGCCTTAGGAAGCCTTAGGAAGCCTTAGCAAGCCTAACTAGACAGTTTTCTACATTTCGGTAAGGAAATAGATCAGTATCTACAGTAAACTAGTCAAATAAGAATAGAAATGAAGCGATAGAGCAAAAGGTAGAGCTAGAGATAGAGCAAGAGATAGAGCATGAGATAGAGGAAGAGATAGAGCTGGAGCTAGAGCTGGAGCTAGAGCAAGAGCTAGAGCTGGAGCTAGAGATAGAGCACAGAATCTAGAGATCCAAAGAACCAATCTAGAGATCTATAGAACTTACCATGGTTGAGGAATAAGCTGAAGCTTGAGGGTTGAGCCTGGTGAGCTGGGTGATGGGTGATCTTAAATACAAGGTGGACAGGGTCCAGCCTCGAGCTGAGCCACTGTCTCGACTCCACCCACAGACGAGCCGATCTTTCTTTCTGCTTTCTGAGATCTCTTTTTGGTTTGATGTAGTTGTAGACAAGCCAGCCAGTCTTCTTTTGCATTTCTTTTTTTGAAATCTTTCTTTTCATTTCATATCTGAGAAAGATTCAACACCTCAAAAGCCTTCTTTACCCCTCTCACCACATTCCAAACCTCTAGATCTTTCGATATCTATAAAGCTGAAGTTCTAGCACTCTCTAGTAGCTTTTCTGTGATCTCTAGCTTCTTTTCTCTAGCTTCTAGGGTTCTTATCGAGACCTCTTCCTTCATCTCTCATCTTTTAGAGAACTAAGAGATCTAAGAAGCTCTGTCTTCTCTTTGATCTCTCATCTCTTCTTTATCATCTATCTAGTTCTATCTTTCTTCCTCTCCTTCTTCCCTCTTTCTTCCTCTTCCTCCTCCCTCTTCCCTCCTCTTCCATCTTCTTCATTTAGTAATCCGGTTTCCCCCCTTCCTTGCCATCATTTCTTTTGTCGGGTTTGCCTGTCTCAACCTTGTCTTAGTGATTCCCATTTTCAGCCTTTCCTCAAGGCTAGACTGGTCTAGTCAACTCTTCAGCTCTTCCGTTCCTTTCCCTTCTCTTCCCCTCTCTTCCCCTCTCTTCCCCTTCCTTGCCCTTCCTTCCCCTCTCTTCCCCTCTCTTCCCCTCTCTTCCCCTCTCTTCCCCTTCCTTGCCCTTCCTTCCCCTCTCTTCCCCTCTCTTCCCCTCTCTTCCCCTTCCTTCCCCTCTCTTCCCCTCTCTTCCCCTCCCTTCCCTTCTCTTCCCTTCCCTTCCCTCCCTTCCATCAAAATGACAAACCCTGATTGCCAAAGGTTTCATTGAGGAATTGGAAACTGGAATGGAGTTTTGCCTTTTAGCTTTGAATAGCTTTGAATAGCTTTGAATATAGTGCTTAAAAGTGTAAATGGGATAATTTAAAGTCATCGGCTTTTGTAAAGAAGCTTTGTAAAAAAAATTGGAGAATTGAAGGCTTAGGCGAAGGTTAGGCTAAGCTTTGGCGAAGTTTAGGCCAAGCTTTGGCCAAGCTTAGACCAAGCTTAGACCAAGCTTTCTCCTGAGCTGGGCTTTAAACTAGGCTTTAGACCAAAGAAAAACGGCGATTAATCAAGTAAAAGATTTAAAGGAAATTTTGCTCAAGTCTCGATCTAGTTTAGTTCTAGTTCGTGTCTAGTTTTGACTCCCGACAAACACACTCTAGTATTTATGATGGGAAAATCGAGCTACTAGCGATTACTAGCAATTACTAGCAATTACTAGCAATAGATTAATCGCCAAACAAAATTCACTAGATCTCCCCATATCCATCACTAATCGAATTGCAAATTGGCTTATCGAAAGGACTTTAGGCTTTAGGCTTTAAGCTAGGCTTTAAGCCAGGCTTTAAGCTAGGCTTTAAACTAGGCTTTAGGCTAGGCTTTAGGCTTTAGGCTAGGCTTTAAGCTAGGCTTTAGGCTTTAAGCTAGGCTTTAAACTAGGCTTTAAACTAGGCTTTAAACTAGGCTTTAAGCTAGGCTTTAAGCTAGGCTTTAGGCTTTAGGCTAGGCTTTAGGCTTTAAGCTAGGCTTTAAACTAGGCTTTAAGCTAGGCTTTAAGCTAGGCTTTAGGCTTT